TCTCAAAAAGACAAAAAAAAAAAAAACAAAAAAAACTATTTTGTACTGTACTGGACATAGGGGCACATATCTGCAATCCCAGGACTCGGGAGGCTGAGAAAGGAGGATCACTGTGAGTTCAAGAGCAGCCTGCACTACCAAGGGAGACCCTGTCTCAAAAACACAAAACAAACCATTCTGTACTATACTGATACTACGATGCACTGTGTTCCAATTCGGCAGTAGCGTTTCCAGGTCATACATACTCGTCAAAAGCCAGGGAATGACCATGATAGTGTACACCAGTAACCCCAACACTCAGGGAAGCTGACGCAGAAGAACACTGAGTTTGAACCAAACCTGGGCAACCCAGTGACTTAGCAAGACTTCGTCTCAAAATAAAAACAGGCTGTATGTGACTCAGTGCAAAAGCCCTGGGTTCAATTCTCAGTACCACAGAGAGAAAAAAAAGCCCAAGAATACAAAACACCAAAAATGAACACTAACGCAACCCATGGACTTTGAGTGCTCACCCACGGTGACAAATGTCATCCTGGTACAGTATATTAACAGTGAGGGAACCAGGCATGGTTGTGCTTACCTGTAATCCCAGCACTCTCGGGGGTGAGGCAGGAGGATCAGCTTGAGTTTGAGACAACCCTCAACTACATAGTGAGCTCAAAGCCAGCGTGGACTACGTAGCAAGACCCTGTCTCAAAACAAAAACAAGGCTGGGTGTGGTGGCGCACACATGTAATTCCAGCACTCGGGAGGCTGAGGTAGGAGAATCTTTCCAGTTCAAGACCAGCCTGGGCTACAAAGTGAGCTCAAGGCCAGCCTGAACCGCATAGTGAAACCCTGTCTTAAAAAGACAAAAATAAAAACAAAAACAAAACAAAAACAGTGAGGAAGAAGCAGGGGTCTCATGAGAACTCATTTTCTGCTAGATTTTGTTCTGAACCTAAATCTGCACTTAAAAAAAATCTATTAATTGAAAACCAAGTTGTAACTTTAACGGAGGGTAAAGTTAAGTTAGCACTCCTAGCACACACAGCACCATCATGGAGATGCTCAACAAATCCATTATTTCTATACCTTCATCGAAAAAACCATGACGGGGCTGGGGATTTAGCTGAGCGGCACAGCGCCTGCCTGGCAAGCGCAAGGTCGTGAGTTCGATTCCTGGTACCGGAAATAAATATAAATAAATAAAAAATAAAAAACCATGATGATGGGCTTGGGCATAGCCTGTAGTAATGTCCATGCTTAGTATGCACAAAGCCTAGGCAATCACCAACACCAAAGCATTAATTACAAGTAAAATGCCAGGCTAGGCATAGTGGCACACATCTGTAATCCCAGCACTCAGGAAGCTGAGGCAAGAGGATCGCCTGGAGTGCAAGGCCAGGCTTGGCTACATAGCAAGACCCTGGCTCAACCCTGCCCAATCCCAAAAACCAGGAGTACAAAGATCAATAGCTAAAAACTTTAAGCCCGTCCTCCTGCCAAGGCTCCTTCCTGTTCCTCTGCAGGGATGGTCCTTTCCCTTCCCTCACTGATCTACTTCACTGAACAAGGAGGGAGACAGGACCAACGGACTTCATCTCCGTGGCAAAATTATCAAGGAGGTTCTATGGCTATCTTTATGTTTCCAACCTCAGGGTCACTTCTGTGTTATCCAGGAAACTATTTAGTGGTCTGAAAGAACAAAAGTCTTCCGTTTAGACACTGATGAAATACTTTGCATAGATGAGTTGATATTCAGATTTATGACAACTGCTTTTGACCACAGAACTTGGTTTGGTGGCTTAGTCAGGGAAACAGTGATTTCTCAGAATAGGAAGCAGAGACCAGGGGATCAACAGTTCAAGGCCAGCCTGGGCAACTTGACAAGACCCTATCTCAAAATGAAAAATAAATAAAAAGGACTGAGAATGTACATTGCTCAATGGAAGCCCTGGGTTCAAATACCGGCATAACAAAAAATAAAATAGTAACTATTACTAAGAAAAGCTAGCTGGGCATGGTGGTACATGCCTGTAATCCCAGCACTCAGGAGGCTGAGGCAGGAGGATTGCTGAGAGTTCGAGACCAGCCTGGGTTACAAAGTGAGCT